TATCCCCTAACCACTTACCTGCCTGCCTAATTGCCCCTAACCACTCTGCCTGCCTGATCACCCCAACTGCTCACCTGCCTGCCTGATCACCCCTAACTGCCTCTGCCTGCCAGCCTCATTGCCTCTCATATTACACTTTTATTATTATAGAAAATAGCCTTGCTCCAAGTTGTAAGGACCTGCTTGTCATAGAGATAGAAAAGTTTTAATTTTTACTCTTGATTATGGCAATTAACTAACACAGATGGCCACCAAAAAGGTGACTTACCAAAGGGTGTATAGCAAACGGTGCTGTTAAGTCCTCTTCCGTGAAAACGTGCATGCCGTGCACTGTATCTGCCTGGGTACATGAAAGAGTGATGTTTCTGCCTGTCTTTGCAATCATATGAGTGAATTGTGTGAGACCCCAGCCCAGTTTGGTTTGGTGCTCACAGAATAATAGAGCTCTTTTTTTTTTTCTTGGCTCCATTGGTGGAGACTTCCTAGAAGTTGCAGGATATCTTTCTTTTAATTTTTCCTCAACACTCTGACTTATGTCTCTCACCTTTGCTTTCCCTCCATCCCCCACCCGCAACAGTAACTTGCTCCAGGCTCACTTCACTCGAGTGTCTAAGACAGGGGTTCTCAACCTGTGGGTTGCAACCCCTTGGGGGGGTTGAACAACCCTTTCACAAGGGTCACCTAAGACCATCGGAAAACACATATATAATTACATATTGTTTTTGTGATTAATTGCTATGCTTTAATTATGTACAATTTGTAACAATGAAAATACATCCTGCATATCAGATATTTACATTATGATTCATAACAGTAGCAAAATTACAGTTATGAAGTAGCAACGAAAATAATTTTATGGTTGGGGGTCACCACAACAGGAGGAACTGTAGTAAAGGGTCACGGCATTAGGAAGGTTGAGAACCACTGGTCTAAGAGATTGCGCAATGAGTCCACCACCAGAACCATGATTCCCAGAATTCCTTGTGCTCCCCATGCTCTTCGCTTCCACTTCCGGCCCGAGGCCTTTCCCTTCCCCTCCCTCTCCACAGCCAGGGCACGGATGCTGGACTTGCCTCGCACCACTATGGGTGCCGCCATCTTTGTCACAGAGTGACAGTTAATTTACATATTACTCTTTATTAGGTAGGATACTATGGTGCAAAGTGAGGTCTACCTGTAAACACACACACACACACACACACACACACACGCATGTGCTTCATAAACCCATCACCCTAATGTTTTGTCTTTGATAAAATGAAGGTTAGCTAAGAGAGGGAAGACTGATTTAATAGTCACTTTGTAAGAATTAGAACAGAGGAAGGAAGGAAGGAAGGTGAATGGATGTTAAGGAGATTATAAGAATGCCATAAGAATGTCCTGTAGTAGATTCAAACTGTGTGAAATAAGGGTCTTTTGAGGAAGTGATACACCAGAAGCAGTGATCCTGAATCCTCACCCTCAGAACTTATATTGGTTTCAGAGCTTTAATTTGATCAGATCCCAAAATTTTGGCATGTTTATGTAACTGATAACATTGTAGGAATCCTACATCTCAAGAGAACGTTTAGATTCATACTGATGTGGTATCAAATTTTTCTCTGAAAAGGCAATAGTGTTAGGCTTGGTCCTTCAAGTGGAAAGCTGCATTTACCATTAAGAGTATGTAATACATGCTACATTTGCAAGACAAGACAGGAACTTTGCAGTTTGAGATAGAGGTTCCATAGCTGGTTCCAGAAGCAGTAGGATATTTTAAGGAACAAAAAAGTTAGTTCCTTTAAAATCAAGTAGGTGTTGCTTGACATATCTCTATCAAAATCTGCAATAATAACAGTATTTATAAAAATACTTAATTTTAAAATAGAATTATACATTATCATATACTTGAAGTACCCATAATGAAATTGGGTACTTCCTTAATCATTTGTTTTACTATAATCTATATTGGCCATGAAGATAGTTGACAGCATACAATTATAGTCCTTTATAACATTGGTTGAAACACTGCTACTGTCTAAAATTCCAGTTTTATTTGAAATGAGCCTCCTAGAGCCAAAGTCAGGGATAGTCTGAATAAGAAAAATACACAGAGTAAAGTTGAACATATAAATTATTCTTATACATTTTAAAACATGATGAACTGATCAAAATTGCTATATTCAGACACTAAACCTTTGGAAGACTAATACCAATTCATTATTTCAGGATTCATGTGGGAATATTAATATTAATCACCAAAGATAATTGGTGTTCACGGTGATAAAAACATATTCTCTGGATGTGGAGAGGTGTGAAATATGTATAATTCTAGACATGCTTGTCCTAATTGCAAAAATCCCAGAAGAATGGCTTTTCTCATGTCTCCGCAGGGTGTTTCTTAAATCTATTACTTTAGGAAGTCTAATGCTGGCATGTGAAAACCTCAGAAGTTCAGATATCGCCTAAATTAAAATGTGTTATGATTTGAGTGTTGTTCATTTTAAACTAAGTGAACTTTAATAGTGTAAAAAAGGTTTGGGACAGAAGATAAGAGGATAAAAAGAGAAGGGATTGGCAGAGAATGAAGATTTTGTAAATGGTTTAGTGTTTTTTTTAAAACAGTGAATTATAAACTGCAAATGATACTTAACTATTTCTTAAAATTAGGTCTTTATAAAAATTAGGTCTGAATTCTACCTATTTGACATTGTAGGTCTCACTTCAGAAATAGCCTTGGTTCAAAATGTCATTTACCCAAGTCAGAAAAAAACAACAACAAAAAACTGGAAAATTTAATCTATCAAATCAGCCCCAAAATACCAAAAACATGTCTAAATGTTATGTTCTAGAGAACATCATCACCATTTTTGTTTCTATGGCAGACATAGTTTCATAAGACTACTTTTCTAGATAGAAGTCCCCTCCTACATCCCTCTCTGTAGGAACTGGCAGAAAGACTCAGGACCCCTGCGGCTTGGAACATTCTGAGGCCCAGGTATGAAAGTAGTAGAGACGTGGTCTCTTATAGCTTCAAGGCCCAAGGCCTGAGAATCATGGCCTGGGATGATTCAGTTGCAGCAGAATCCCAGCTATGATAGCTTCCAAATATACAGCTGAAGTGAGACTCTTTTACAAGTGGAAATCATGATTACTGATGTCAATAACAATGGCATGCTTTCCATCTTTTCTTTTTTTTAATCCTCCCAGAAGGATATTTTTTCCATTATTTTTAGAGAGAGTGGGAGAGAATAGGGGGGAATAGAGAAAGAGAGAGAGATATATTGGTTGCCTCCTACTGACCCTCCAACCAGGGCTGAGCAACTGAGCAAATCGAACCCACACAGAGAATAGGGGGGAATAGAGAAAGAGAGAGAGAGATATATATTGGTTGCCTCCCACTGACCCTCCAACTAGGGCTGAGCAACTGAGCAAATCGAACCCACAACCCTTCATTCCCTGGGCTGACACTCTGACCACTGAACCAAACCCACCAGGCTTACAACGTTTTTGTTTGTTTGTTTTTCATTTAACCCTCACGGTTATCTGAGTGGGTAGAAAGCTTTAACTCCATTTCATAAATAATAATAACTAAACCTTATTATGTTCTGTGCTATTTTGTCTGTATATATAACTGCCATTCTCAAAGGAGCAAGACATTCCCCTTAGCAAGAGGCCAAGTCTATTTCCCTTCCCCTCATGAGACTTGGATTGACTGACTGAATGCAGCAAAGAAACACAGCTGTGCCATTTCAGGTTTAGCCCTTACAATATCTGGATGTTTCTGCTTTCACTCTCTTGAAATGCAGCCATCATGCTGTTTGGAAATCCAGGATATTTTGCAAGAGAGAGAAAGGTCATGTGGAAAAGGAATGCAGGATTAGACATCTCATGAAGGAGAGGCAATATGGAGAAATGTCTGGCAAGCCATTTGACTGTCAGTAACAACACTCTAGAACCAGTGGTTCTCAACCTTCCTAATGCCGTGACCCTTTACTACAGTTCCTCCTGTTGTGGTGACCCCCAACCATAAAATTATTTTCGTTGCTACTTCATAACTGTA